GTCAAGGAAGACATGACTAGCAATTCAAGTATAATTGTTTATTACTTCATTAATTGGCCCCCTCCTTATATATTTGTATTTTGAGAGCGATCATAAAAGGGTCTAAAGTTCTAACATGCTCAAGATCTCCGTCTAAAATGAATTCTAAGCCGGTAATAAACGGTTGTATTGTATTTGGCAACACTTCACAACTGTACCACCTCCAAAGCTACAACGGCTCGTAACACTCGCCTAATTTTAAAGTGCTGCAATCGTGAAACACGCGCTACTAGACATACGAATTACAACACATTCATAGCACATCACGATATAGTTTAACCACAGCTATATCAAACTTGGCATAATGAGGATTTGTCCAATTTGTTTTTTTGAAGCTAAATTATCTGATAATGCATGAAGATAGTCAATGATCTATCTTCAACAAAATAAAAGAAAATGCTTTTGCAAACATTAGATGTATGCACATCATCCTCCTCTCACGTAATTATAAGTACCATTACAATGTAACAATGGTCCACATCATATATGAGAAGAAAGAAGACATAAACAAGACATCCTGATACTTTTTCATATGACTGTAACAATAAAATCAAGATGAAACCCGAATTGATTCGTCAGGAATGCCATCTTCAATTTCTTGTTTTTTTTTTCCCAGAAAAATTGGTATTGATGCAGCGTTTTTTTTTTTTCAATTCAAGTCAATCCATATCTTGGAACTTAATTAAAGTAGGATTAATGCATGCAAAAGTTTGCTCAAGACTTAGCTTTATTGGTATTCGACATTCCATAATGCTACACAAATCGTATCAAGCATAGAATTTGAAGAGAGACGATGCACCTTTTGGGTGACTCAAGTCTCCATCTTTTTGGCTATAAACAAGTCTTTACCTCATCAATCCTCTCATCATCTCATCTCAAGCTCGAGATGATGTGACGTTTCAGGGTCCCAAAAAAAGGAAAGGTGGACTTAATTAGTGGGGTTCCTGAATTTGGGAAAAGTAAGTGTTGAGAGATCTACATGTCAAATATAGTTGATTAAAAGTTATTTGCAAATAAATAATAATAATAATAATAATATGTTTTCTTTCCCTACTATTGCTTAAAGACAAGGCAATGACAAGCCCGAAGTCAGCACGATTTCTTCGGCTTTTGACAAAGCAGATGCGGCTGATTTTAGTGCCTTTGCCCTCACGCAATATGGGTCAATGAAAATTTGCACAGACAAATACAATATCAACAGATATGGAACTTGGGTAAGGAGAAAACAACGGACAATAGCGAGGCCACGACTGTCCTCACAAGACCACATAGTTTTATATACCAACGCGGACCTCATCTCATGATCTATCTCTAACGAATAAAAGTAACGGTCGCTAGCTATTTCCTTTTGCCGGTGCGAAAGGAACTTGATAAAACATGATATAGAAACTTAATGAAGCCAGTGCTAATCGCATCGAGTCAAGAAGTAAGGAGTTAATGCGTATAAAACATATAGTAATGCAAGATATTATGAGGAAACACCTGACAGAATCAAAAGGAGGTGTGGGGAGTCTCGTGAAACTTTTGCTGTAAGTCACAGGGATCTTTTCGAGCCCCAACCAGAGGAGTCAGCTTTTGCTTGAAGCTTTCACAACCAAAAGAAAAAGAAAGGAAAAAAAAAAAGAACTGAGAAATTTCTTTTCAGCATGAATAAGCAAAGCGGCCAGATTCAAAGCTACGACCTTGGAACTCAAGCTAAGTACAATCATCCCGGAGAAGCATCGTCCACACGTGGAAATGATTTGTAAAAAGTGTTCCAAGAAATTGGATCGAGACTCCGATGCCGCACAACGCGAGAAAAAGAGCTCGCCTGCATCGAAATCTTCTTTAGCACGAGCGGAGTCCTTTCTTGCTGACTACATACAAATGGCGAAGATTCCATAGGATATGTCTGTTAGAAGAAGGAAAGCAAATGAAATTTGACCCTAAAATTGCTCTCTTTCATGACGTGCCAGACACATTGCAATCTTCCGCAATCTTCCCCCTTTTTCTTTGGCAAGTTTTCAGTATGATAACATGTAAATAACAAACATCTTCTAGCAAGATGAGGTAATGCACAACATTTACTTCATCTTAGTATAGTTTAGTTTTTAGATGCTTTCGATTTCTTTCTCGGTTCGACTAATTTTAAACAAAAAGAAAAGTTCTCAATTTTTCGTCGGAGTCTAGTCTAGAAGGAGAAGAATGGTTGAATTGGAAGTTCCCATGTATCAATAAATCTTTCAAACTTGACTAACAAGTTTGGTTCGGTTACTGGCCAAACTAAACTTTAATATTAAAGTTAAAGTTTGGTCGATTCTTTAGTTCAAAATGGAACGATAAACTCCTTAGTATCTACTTTTAGTTCACCGTAGGATTTCGTAGCCCACATCGCGTAGCTTCCTTTTCATGTGGTAACCAGGTCGAGTCCTTTCAGATTTCGCCGATTGCTTATGCCTGAATTGATTTTCGCTTCGCTTTTTTACTTAATCGAAATTTTTTCAAATTTTGAAACGCTTAATATTCTCGCAAAATGCGAATGTCGACACATAGGTTCACATGTATGGCCGTGCTCTCAAAAGTAGATATCATATACACATTGGATGAATAAAGGGACATGGAGGACTAGTTCTAAAAGAAGGCTCTTGTCAATACGTGAAGCTGATCTCACAGTAGAATTCTGAATAGCCTTTCCGGGCCAAGAAGTGTAGGACTACGTAGGACGGTGACGGTGACCGCAATGATTAATGCGTAATGGATTTGACAATAGAGGGTAGGGGGCGTGGTTCATGCTCTTTTGGCAACTCAAGTACAACATTTTGGGGCGAGCCAGTTGTACAATTTCGCACAATCAAGTAAAGAAATTTATGGGAAACACATGCGCGATCCATTCATCCAGCGAAACGCCGAAACCCCACATTGAATTCACGATGCCGCAGTTCACGAGACAAGTGACGCGATGGGGGTTGAAACTCGAAACCCGAAACGAGAGGATGGTGATGAGCGAAGGGAGGGAGGGAGGGAGGGAAGGAGGGAGAAGATAGGGGCCAGGCATGGCCGGCTCTGACCCACGATGCATGATACAATCATGGCGCACAGCAGTAGATTTTGGCCTTCTGGGGCTCGTTTATCGCGAATGTCAATTGTCAAGGTCGAGCGCGTCGTGCTGTGTTCCTCGCTCGTTTCGACATGGACTTTTGTCAATACCTCTGGCTTAAGTCCCTCTCCCCACATGATGGGTCTGGGGTTCTGAGGCAGTCCAAAGCGCGAGCTGGTCCTGCTGCTGTTCGCGACCCTCTGCGAAGCGACCCACCACGTTCACACACATTCACATGGAACGACAGGAAGGTGTTCCCAGACACTTGGCCTAGGATTTTGGCAAATGGAGGGGTTTCAGTTTCAGTGGCCATTCTTGACCTTTTGTTTTCGATGGTTCTCATGTAATGTTTTGGACTCTTCCTTCCATCAATCATGGCAGTTCCTGACTATTTTCTCCCCGAGTGACTTTGCATCTTCCCGTTTCGTCTCGCACTCAATTCAACTGTTCAAGCACAGGCTCGTGGATGTGAACTCCTTGGAAAAGGGAGATGGGCAAGGCTTATCCTTTCCGAACGTGATGATGGTTGTCTGCAAGAATGCGTCTGGTCCTGCAGTGGGTCTGCTTAGAAAAGGATGGTGTTGCTCCGACCGAAAAAATCGATGCTAATGAGTAACCGCTGTGAATATCGCAGTGAATGTTTGTTAGGGGCAATCAGTTTCCGGTCCGATCTGATTTCAAAATAGATCCGGGACCGAGATAATCGGTTCTCAAAATTGGGAACCGGGGAATCGGACCGGTTGGTCCTATAGGTCCTAGAACAGGACCAAGGAACCGAACACTTTTTTTTTTTTTTCCGACTACTTGTTGCCATCTTTTCGTGTTGAATTAAGTAATATGTATGTAATGATCCTCAAATTGAAAAGACGAATAAAAAAACGTGTTTCACTTAGGGTTCAATTCACGTTTTATTAATTTTTTTTGAAGAAATAAAAAAATAAAAAAATATATATATAGTCGGTCCGGTTCCCTATGAAACTAGGAACCGAACCATCTGAACACCGGTTCCACTTTTAGGAACTAGGAACCGGATCGACACTCACGGAAATCAGACCAAACCGGCCGGTCCGAACGGTTTCCGGTTTGGATGGTCCGTTTTGCACATCCCTCAGGCGTGTTACTCTCAAAGTATCGAAAAATATCCAAATGAGAAGAGCGAAGGAGATTAGGGAACGCGAATCAACCCCCAAGCGATCGGAGATAGTGAAGTATTTGGAGTAGTCAAAGTAAAGAGCTAGCTGGGTCATGCAGAAACAACAGTAGTTACCATTTGTTAAATAACTATGGTGATGATGTGAACTTTTGTGTTATAGTGATCAAGTTGATATGCTAGCTGTGTTGGGGAAAAAGTTCACAAATTGAGTTTCGCTTGTTTCACTAGCAAGTAGCCAGTAGTTTTAGCATGGCGATCAAGGTTCTCGTCGGCGATTCAGGCGGAGGCCGCCGTACTTGAAGCCCTAAAACATTTTGAAGCAAAAAGTGAACCGAAGATCGTGTTAGAGACATATCGAACCGATCTGGTGGAGATGATGAGCGAGGAGCAGATCAAGTGAGTTGGGAAGCTTATGCATTGATCACCGAAGCCCAGGCCCGCACAAAGCTATTCAGCAATTTAAAGATGACCCATTGCCGAAGAGAAAGTAATCAAGTTGCGGATTGGGTCGCCAAAGCCCACCGTAATAAATATTTGCCGGTTAATTGGATCGCTTATCCCCCTACTTGTCTTTTGGAATTGCTTTGTTCTGAAGCTCGTATATTATCGCAAACTTTTACTTGAATGAGTATAAGATATAATGTTTGCTGACCAAAAAAAAAAAGGTTCTCGGTGACTCATGGAAGGTGTAAAAGACGACCTACATGGACTACGGTCTTTTATCCAAATCAGTTGTTAATTTATATTATGGAGAGATTTTTAGGTGCTCTCGAAGTATGAGTTCTTATCTACTCGAGTCAATCTATATGTATGAAATATATTTAACTTGTCGAAGAAAATGAAGAAATGCCTAATGCTCGTAATTTCCCACGAATACCTAATCATCTTGCCATGATGCCCCCCAAAATAAGAAAGAAAAATGGAAAAATTTGCTAATTCCTCTCAGCTTGAAGCGACACCGAGTGCTTGACATCCCCAATATGAAGCCGGTGCTCCCCCATCGGAATCCTCCTAACGCCGGCCCTGTCCACCACGCTCAGGTACTTGCACACGTGGATGTTGATCCGAACCCTCTCGCGGGCCCCCGCCGCCACACGGACCTTCTGGAAGCCCACCAGCTGCTTCCGCGGCGCCCAGTGTGCCCCGCCGCCACCTGGGGGCGTGGAGTACACGAGCACCGCGTGGGCCCCGTCCCTCGCCCCGGCGTTCCTGACATCCAGCTGGACCCCAAGCGAGAGCCCGGCGCACCGGGCGTGCGTGACCCTGACCGCCCCACTGGGAGCCGTGGTGGCGTTCGCGGGCCGGCGGCGGCCGTCGAGGGGGACGGACACCGCCGCGGGGGCAACGGCGATCGTGTGGATGAAGCGGGTGTAGCTCAGCCCGTGGCCGAACGGGTACACAACCTGGCCTCGGTAGAATCGGTAGGTCCGGCCCGGGTAAAGGTTCGATCTGGTGGGCCTCATGTCCATCACGGTCATGGGTACGCTTGCTAGGTAATCCTGTGGGTACCATGTCATAGGCAGCTTTCCTCCTGAACAAGATAATTAACTATGATTTAAGTCTAATGAATTTTAATGAATTTAATCACTTCAAACTTAAGGGAAATGAAATAATATAATTAACTATGATTCAAGTCTAAAATAAGTTTAAGTAACATCTATCCTTATAAGGAATTATAAACGAGAAGGAACAGACCTGGGTTGGTTGCTCCAAACAAGACATCGGCAATGGCGGCACCGCCCGCTTGGCCGGGGTAACCGGCCCACAGTATGGCGGCAACCCGTGGAACGTCCTTAGCAAAGGAGATGTCGACGGGCCCGCCGGACATCAAGACTAGCACAGTCGGACCCTTGGAGGCAGCGGCCACCTTCGACACGAGCTCTTGCTGTCGTCCTGGCAAGAGGAGGCTGTCCCTGTCCTTGAACTCCGCCTCGATACTCTGGTCAAGCCCCATCACCAACACCGTCGCGTCAGCTCCGCGTGCTGCCTCGACCGCTCCTCCAAACAGCTTGTCGTCGCGGCAAGCTACGTCCGCACAACCTTGCTGGTGTATCGTCTTTGTGTACTTGCTAATTCCTTGAAGAGGAGTTGTATATCCACATGCGACACCTAATACACAAGAATCAATTTTAGGAGATATCGATCATTGCTAAGAGTTGGTCAATCACATATTCTAAACTTAACATGTACCTTGATGATTATACTATTTTAAGGTCACGCGATTAGAAACAGTTTTTGATTTTGGCAGAGACGACACGAATGCTCACCGGCGTAGTTCCCGATCATCGTTACGGTGACGTCCGAATTGGGGCCGATGACGGCGACGGTGCGGTGGCGGCGAGGGGAGAGAGGGAGGGACGGTCCCCGGTTCTTGAGGAGGACGATGCCTTGCCTAGCGGCTTCGAGGGCGAGCTCCCGATGGGCCGGGGTGCACACGTCCTTCGGACCGAGCGACCCGTGCGGTTGCGCCGACGGCTCGCCGTCGAACATTCCCAGCCGCATCTGGACCGTCAGCGTATTGAGCAGAGCGCCGTCGACTTCGGCTTCGTTCAGCAGGCCGCCGCTCACTGCTTCCTCGGTGTGCATGGCGAGGAATGGGCCACAGTCCAAATCTAGGCCTGAAAATAGTGAAACCTATACATGAGATTAGCCTTTCTCAAATGTTTGATTCAATTTTCTGATTTTTGTCCAATGACCTTACTTAGCCCACAAAACATGATGGGCCTTTGGTGATGGGCCAGAGAGAGAGAGAGAAATTATTCAAATTACTATATGTGCGGGGACTATAGGAAGTCGCATTAATATTATTTACTATTGTTAGAGTGCAAAATTCGAAGAGGGAACCTGCTTTAATTGCGTCGGCAACGGCCTGCTGCGGCGTGGACGCATAGTGTTGTTTGTCGTAGAACACGCCGACCGAATCGCAATCCGAGACGACGTACCTGCATTCCCCGGATCGAATTGCACACGAATTAGCCCACCCGGCCCTTACTTAATTAAGCACACCACTGTCCCGTGATTTTTACGCAACTATAACGAATCGCGAAGTAGAAGGCGTTACCCGTCGAGCCGCCACGCGCCGCGGACGGTTTTCTTGAGGAGGTTCGGGTTGGCGCAGGCGGGGACGCCGTTGACCTGGTTGTAGGAGCACATCACGCTGGCCACCTTCCCTTCCATCACGCACATCCTGAACGGGACGGCGAATGTATCCTCCATGTCCTGTTTGCTCACCTGTGTCCATAAGTGTTCCGAACATGAGAATGTGACACTAGCGATATGTTCTCGTTTCCATAACAATTTACGCAAACTTAGTCGTATAATCATACATCGTCGTATGTTTATTGCGCGTCGAATTCATTTCTATACATCCTAAGTTACGTGCATTAAGTCCCTCCATAATTTCGCGAGAGTTAATTGATTTTTTTCTTTTCCCATTTCAATAGACGTCCAAAAGCTTTTTCATGAATAGAGATGGTCAGGTACTAAAAAACCATCGTGACAACTACATTCTTGTCACTGGCCCGAGTTTAATAAAAGAGTCACATGAAAAAATTGACTAACAATGATTAAATTCCGGTGGATTTTGCAATTAGTTTTCTGAGTTTAATTTGATTACCGAATAGGTTTTAAAAGTGTAAAGATCTAGGTAAGGACATTCAGGTTCGAAAATGAAACCAAAGCTCGATTGGCCAACCACCCCATTGATAGATCAAGTCATCTAACACGTCACTGAATATAATGAATGATTTCGCATGTGATTTCAGCACGAAACTTACCCTCGCATTGAAGTGGAAGCGATCGACCCCGTTCCAGTTATCGAGATCATAGGCCGTGAAGTGCTTGCAGCAGGCCGCCACCTTCAGCCGGCCACCGTCGCCGCCGCCGCCTCCTTGCAGCCCCCGCACGTAGCGGGCGGCGTACCGGCCGACCACCAAGGGGTCCTCGCCGGGGGTCTCCTGGCCCCGGCCCCAGCGCGGGTCCCGGAGGACATTGATGTTGGGGCTCCAGTAGGTGAGCCCGCCCATGCCTCCGTTGTACATGGCTCTCGCCTCGTCCGACACCACCTGCGCACCCCCACCAGCAAAAGGAGAGGCATTAAAACGACGTTGCGCTTTTAGTTCCTTCGTAAAACTTCGTGGGCAAGTTGCAACGACAGGTCGCATGAATGGACAGGGAGGGCTCAAAGGTCGTCGTACGTGCCGACGTACCATTGCGACTCCCGAAAAGATGGCCTAGATATAAAATTACAAACTTGGGCCCGTCCCAATTATTCTGATTGAGATTGGCCAAGTTCATTCCGGTATTAATAATCTAGGCCATACCTAATCTTACTAAATCAATAAACAAAAAAAAGCCAAAAACAACGAGACCCATTCCTGGGATCCGTCGGAAAACGAATGCGTCGTAATGTGTCGAGAACACATTCAGAAAACCCGTACGACATGATCGAATGATCTCATTTTTTTTTTTGGGAAAAGAGAGCATCTGCGGAGGATAGTGTCCTTTTTTGCCGCTTCTCTAATGATTCGTTTAGGTTAATGCAAGCTTTTTCATTGGCTTAACTAGAGCAGAACGGGGGCCAGACGATCACCTGTCCAATTGCTTCCCACAGCGAAGCGTTGAAGGAAGCGGCGGTGGTGATCACTTGAGGGAAGCTGGTGGCGCCGGGGAAGACGCCGCCGAACCGTGTCCCCGGCCCCACGTTCGACACCCCGTGGAGCGCCTCCGACCACCACTCGTAGCCCCCGATCCCCAGCCGCGGGACCGCGCCCGCGTCGTTCGCCAGCAGCTTCACCTTCTCCCGCAATGTGAGCCGGCCGACCAGGTCCCTCGCTCTCTCCGGGATCGGCGTCGACGCGCGGCAGAATGGGAAACCCCGCGTCCTCTCGTCCTTCGGATCGCAAGCGAACGGCTCGCGGGCATCGCTGGACATGATGATGAGGAGGAGGAGGAGGAGGAGGGCGAGGGTCGCCGCGGCGGCGGCGGGGGAGGCGGCGGGGACGGCGGCTCCGGTCATCGTGCGGCGGTTTTGAAGGCAGTGGGGTGTTGGGTTGAGCGGGGTGAAAAAAAACGTGAGTAGTTATAGAAAGTGTTGTGGGCTAAAGAAGTGATGCAATCGGAACTGCTTGAGGGAAAGCGGTGTTCTCTTTCTGGTCGATTACATTATTGGATTCACCAGCCATTTTGGTTTTCTTTTTTTTTTTTTTTTGGGGGAATAGAGTTGAGAAAAGTTAAGAAAAGATGGTTTTTTTTTTTGCACGTTAAAAATACATTATATAAAGATAAATATTCATTGTGAGTATGCTATCAGTCGAGACGTTGCAAGTTTCTCACTCAACATTGACGGGACAGCACTTGTTTTCTTTGATCATCGGGTATGATACAGGGGTGAGCGTGGTCCCAGATGGGCGGTTCCCATCACGGAATCGGAAACTACCCATTAAGGATCGGTTTCGAAAAATTAGAACTGGGAACTGCCTGTTAGTTTCATGAATCCACCCGAGAACCTGATCGCAATCCGGTCCTGTACCCGAGTGGGTCCATGGAACCGATCCCACCAAGTTTCACGCAAATGGAAGTGATCGAAAGCAAGAGAAGGAGGCGATGAATGGCCGGAGGCGCTACCGTGAATCGATGGGAATTGAGAGTCGAGGTCATGAGTTGATGGACGATGAACTTAAAAGTCGAGACCATGAATGAGAGATAGAGACAAGATGAGCACTTAGTTAATGGACGTTAAGTTTAAGATTAGGGATTTTAGGGTTTTCATTTTTCTTAAAATGTTTTCTTTTTTATTTAGTTGGAATTTTTTTTTTAAATTATATATATTACCGATCCGGTCCGAGTAGGTGGGTGGGCGGTTTCACATCTAGAACCGAGAACCGGATCGGTATTCACCGATTTTAGTAAATTGAAATCGGGAACCGCCAGTTCCGGTCCGGTCCGGTTCTAGATAGTCCGGGCAGTTCTCAATACCTTTGCACACTCCTAATATGATGAAACTATGTTATGTCACAACCGTATTGTGAAGCGTCGTTACTTTGCGCATTTTGTCATATCTTTTTGAAGACGCTGCGCTCCAAAAAAATTGAACAAGAAGGTTTTCCAAATACTGTTGTTTTTTATGTTGCCGGAGTACTCGGGCAAATGTTGTAGTTATAAAACGTCTACCGAGTTTCTTATAAATGTCAATATCTTTTTACATAGTCCTAGGTGCAGCAGAAAGTCAAACGGGGCTCCGAGTATGAATGAACACGAGATCAGTTAATCAAATATGAGAAAAGATGTTAACGACCGCACGCGACGCTAGCGTGGTACACGGCATCGTGAAGAGGAGTGAAACTTATCTCGACCCGATTTCACGAGAACCAAATCAATTACAGCCGCTGAACATGCGAGTCACCAGGCGCACAAAATCGTACATGGCCGATGGACCTGGTTTGCATGTCCTGACCCGATAGAGAGGGAGGCAAAGCCTTTGCATGGACTCGGTTCCATCGATCCAAGTACATCTCGATTGGTGGTGATCTTGTGCGACCCACACGCACGGCGGTCCATACGATCGACGAGCGCTGTGGTTCAAGTTTTGCGTGGATGCGAATCTAGACAAGTATTTATCGAAGGATGAGGCTCCCGGAGGGCACAGATGGCGTCGTCGGATTGGTCATAGAAGTGGGTTGCGACAGAGGATTGGGGATTGGCTGGTGCAATTCCCACTGCGAAGAAACACAAGTCGGGGGCCAGTTGTGAGACAATTATTATACGAGGCCAATCAGGTGAACGTCAGCTCATCCGACTCCCACATCTTTTTCTCACTTTGCACGGCCACCGAAGCTTCTTCATGAGCCCCACTCATCAGAAAACCTTTTCCCTTACCTCGCAAGCATCAACTCGAAAGACCCACTTCATACTTGTTAGATCCATGAAGTCGCAATTATAGATATTGTCAGAAATAGAAGTTCATACTAGTGATTCTAAATTACACGCTCATCGTACTTGTTAGATTCATGAATTCGATTAAAGTATTTCACGAGAAGGATAATTTTCCTCATAGTTGATTTTTCCATGAATTACGACGGAGTAGGCTATGGTGAAGCGGATAAGAATGAGCGGTTTCAGAGTCGGTCCAGGTTCCACCTGCGACCCGAAATCTACCCGTCAGAACCGGTTTCCAAAATTTTGGAACCTAAAATCTACATTGCATACTCTAGAACATTATCTTATCACAAGTTTCAAAGTCGGCTGTAAAATCTATCCAGGTTCCACTTGTATTTTTATTGAACGATTGCAGTGAATCATCACCTCCAATGACCACCATTTATTGCTACAATTCGCTAACTACAACTCATATTTAGAAACACGAAGAATACGAAACATTAACAAAGTAAAAGTCTCAATTATAGATATTGCCAGAAATAGAAGTTCATACTAGTGGTTCTAAATTACACACTCATCATAGAACAAGAAAAACATCAAAATTTGTTCTCGAGACTTATCCGTCGGAACTGATTCTCCAATTTTTAAAAACTGAAATCTACCTGCACACCTTGAAATCTAGAATGAGACCGGTTCCCACCGGTCCGATTCCCGGTTTTACCGTGGAACCATATTCACTCTTGGTAACAGACATAATGCTCTCTGAAACACGGTACGTTATAATACGGTACACTTACGCAGGCGCGAGGAGGGGAAATTACAACAATGACCCTGCATGTGAAAAGGAGTAAAAGTAAGGGTTAATACCACGAAAAACCCTAAACTGGTACAGTTGTGACAATTTTACCCCAAATTATTTTTTTGACCACAAAAAACTCCAAACTGGTACACTTGTGACAAATTTACCCCGAACTATTTTTTTGACCACTAAAAATCCCGAACTGGTATACTTGTGACAATTTTACCCCAGCTAATTTTTTAATATTATTCTTTATTTTTTTGAATTTTTTTATTTTTTCTTTTCTTTTTTCCTTAATCTTCTTCATCTTCAATTTCTGGCCGGTCGCCAGAGGCGAAAGCCGACAAGGTCGGCCCCGCCGGCCGAGGCTCGACCTCGCCGTCGCCAGATCTAGCGAGGGCTCGGCCCCACTGGCTGTTGGGCGAGGTCGAGCCTCGCCAAATCTGGCGAGGGCTTGGCCCCGCCAACAAGCCCTCGCCAACGGCCGACGGGGCCGACCTTGCTGGCTTCCTCTTCTGGCCGGTCGCCGGTCCGACGACCGGCCAGAAATTGAAGATGAAGAAGATTAAGGAAAAAAAGAAAAGAAAAAATAAGAAAAAATAAATAAATAAATTCGAAAAAAAATAATATTATTAAAAAATTAGTTGGGGTAAAATTGTCACAAGTATACCAGTTCGACGACCGGCCAGAAATTGAAGATGAAGAAGATTAAGGAAAAAAAGAAAATAAAAGAAAAGAAAAAATATAAAAAAAATATAAAAAAAATCGAAAAAATAAAAATAAAAATATTAAAATTTTAGTTTGGGTAAAATTGTCACAAATATACAGTTTGGGATTTTTGGTGATCAAAAAAATAGTTCGGGATAAATTCATTATAAATGTACTAGCTTGGAATTTTTTGTGATCAAAAAAATAATTTAGGATAAAATTGTCACAATGTGCAGTCCCCCATCCTCTGATCCTGACTGTACTTGACATTCAAAGTCTGTGGTGCGAGCAAGCTTGGCTTGGAAGAGAGGTTGGCCATCAACTCCCTCAGCATTTCTTATTCTTCTTCCCTTATTTTTTCATTTTATTTTCCACCAACTGGATTCAGATCTTTTTGACTTTAGGGACTTTAATGATGGCATTTTATTATCTTCTTCTTTTTTTCAGTGCACAGTCGAACATTATTTACTCCAATAATATGTCCCACTTAAAAATTCAGATAAATAAATAGAGAAAAACTGCATATGTATTATATAATTCCCAAACGACACACGAAATTCGATAAATGCAGCATGCTTAAGCCAATAGATAGATAGAGATCTTATGTACAAAAAGAGATTGTAAAATACTTTTAACATGTGCATTCTTTTTTTTTTTTAATCGTAGAATAACTATATGGACAGCGGATTCTTTGGAATTTCATAATCACTTAAAAGGCCTATATGACGTTAGATTATAGAACAATACTTGTTGTCTATGGAATAGAAAAATTTGTTTGAAATGACTTACGATTTTTTTTTATGTTTTGCATTTCACTTTTTAGAATTTCATTTTTGTTAAATGTCGAGCGCATGTAATTTTTTTGAAATATATGAAATGTTACGCGAGTGCAAAATATCATAATTTTTGTGAAATTCAAAATAATCTTTGGTTTACTTGAAAAAGCATAAGGAGAATAATCTAAATGATCGGGCCTCGGAACTCATTTCTGGATCTCTTATTTTTCTATCCGAGAATTGCCGTCCCCTCCACTTGAGAAAAGAAATTAATATTATCCTTCGTCTCGTTCCATGTCCAAACTATTATTATTATTATTATTATTATTATTACTATTATTACTATTATTATTGTCCAGGATTCGAAAAGCTTTAGCTAATGCAGCATACAAACCACTTCTTTCGAAGATTATTCAAATTTTTTTTTGGGGTCTGTCATTTCTTTTTTTGGGGTCGAATGGGGGAGTCTGTCATTTCGAAAAGCTCTTTTCTGCATTATTGATAGAGTATACTAGATAAAGAAAATTGGTGTCTTTCTTGGGGATGTGTCCAAGATTTGCAGCAGAGGGTTGCCGGTGGTCTTCCATAATTTTTTACTTTATCCCCTTTTGATCTTTATCTCTTTTTAATCTCTCACTTAATTCCTTTTTTTAAATTAAATTTTCCTATGAACCCAGCACATAGGAAAATGAGATCTGCTGCTCAAATTAGAGAATTAAAGGATCTCGATCATTCTCGTTCTCTTTTGGGCCAATAAGCAATGGGAGATTCGGCTGCTCACCCCCCCACCACCATTCGACCTTGACAAAAAGCACAAGATAACACAAGTAGTTCTTACATCATTCATGAGTTTAGTCCAAGTCTCAATTTCATGTTGTTCGTCCAACATCTGTAGCAAACAATGTCAGAAGAAAAAAGATGGGTTTGGTAAGAGTGATCATTGGCGATCGTGTGAACAACCAATAGGGGCAAATATCATCAAATATCATGATTGATTTGCCCAGAATTTAGAGAACTTAAGGTTGTTTTTTCATGATAATGACTTTAGTTGTGGGTGATGTAATTCCTTATAACGTGCTTTGCAATTTACAAACAAGCTTATAGCTTCACAATTATGTTTTTTTCCAAGAAAGTTAGAGCCCTCGCTTTCAACAAATCGCGGGGTTAAGACATGCATTATAGACGCGCAAATCGTGAGGCTTCACGGCACGACACGGCCATAATACAGCCACGAATACACAAAATGGACTCTCTCTTTATCTTATGGTGCGGCGTGGAGCTTCATCTTTACTTAAGTTATTCTTTTTTTTCCAATTATTTTTTGGGGGAGCCTTTGGGAATAGATCGTTGGAAATCTGATCTCGTTGATGCGTGCCGGATAATTGATTCCGTGATGACTAATAACATGACGTTATTGACAGTCCCATGTAAAAGTGTTCTCCACATGGCTTAGCCGCGTTTGGAACCCGGAGGTCTCACCTCCGGACACGGGCCATTTGGAAAACTTCTTAACAATATACCCTGCCGCTCAATGGCAATTTTACTTGTGTAGCATCAATCAATCACACTATGTCCTAACTAGCTGAAGAAAGATCCAATCGATCGCATTAAATCACTTGCATACGAAAACGAAACTCCACGACCCGGTTCAATACGGTCGATGGGCTCAAAATCAGGACACCACCAGGCCTTGTCATGGACAGACTTTCGGGTCAAACGGCCCATAAACACACGCACCACCATAGAACTACCTATCTCCTTTATCATTCATTGCTATAGAGTTCTTCCTCGAAAGCCTGGTCAGGACATAGTCCTGTTTGACTTTGATCCCTCCCATGTCTTTGCATTGCCACTAGTATTATCACAACAACTATGAGATTCCCTAACGCACTTCAGAAAACAGAAGCAGCACTCTTCAACATCGAGACTCTAATCTTAGCCAGCCTATATAATGCTGGATGACCTCTTAAAGTGATTAGAACAGCCAGTAAGGCACCTTCTTCTCAATCCTCTTCTCCTTGATGGTGTCTAAGCTCGGCTTCCATCCCTTCCCCGAAAGCTGCCTGCTCAAGTAGTCCGGCGTACCGTCCATGATCTCCGACATAATCGGGTCTGCTATGGCGCACCTCTTGGCCGCTTTCATCTCGTCCTCCTGGTTTCGCTCTTGCGGCGTGTGCTCGTTGTATCTGTCGCCTCCGGGGCCGAGAATGCACATCCGCGTGAACAGCGGCAAGAACCTTGAGGACGAGTTCAGGAGAGACCTCGAGCGCAGGACCGAGTTCGCCGTGAAGAGGACGTGCCGGGCCTCCTCAGCGGATAGGGACACGGGCTTCCCCCGCTTCATGGGGAGCATGAGGTAAATCTTCCTGGGGTCGAGCTCCTGGTCGGCGGGCAATGGGGTCGGCCTCTTCCCTCTCGCCTCAGGGTAGAACTCGACCACAACTTGCTGTGGGTGCTCCAGCATCAGCTCGGCCGCGGTGACGCCGGGGTCCTCCCACTGGTGCACCGTGCCGTCCCACAGGACGACCTTTCCGCCCCCCGAGGAGGAATGATTCCTAGACTCCTGATTCCCCATGAAGAGAGAGAGAGAGACAGAAAGAGTGAATGTGAGTTCGGTTAAAGTATTTGGTGTAGCGATGTGTTGCATTATATGGTGGTTGAAGAACGAGTCTACGTAGGAATGTGTAGGGGGGTGTTGGTTAAACGGCTCCATCTCGTGATGTGGGTGGAATTGGTAATAACCGAAGACAGGGTCGTTGGTTTAGTGTTCGTAACATTATGTGACCCTACATTCGATGAACACCAAGTTCCAAAGGAGTCATTGATTCTTCGATTAAGGTATCCAATTAGGATCTTTGCCATAATGGGTTTCCCTAAGTTCAATTGAATTCGACAAATTTCAGCTAACTAATGCACCTCCTTGTATGAACATTAATCAATAACATGAACTTAACTGATAATCGAACTTTCACATTCTTGAATAGAAATAGTGGGGTTTCCGAATTTTCTGCGCTCTAAAGTTCGTTTCGGTTAGGAAAATCGAATTTATTTGAAATTCGCGATCGCATTTCTAATGGACATTATACTGATGATATGAAACATACGATCCGCAAGCTCCAAACATGTACACCTCCGGTAGCTAATAGGTTGGCCAAGATTCATTCAACTTTATATAATTACAATGCTGTTTATAGCTTGGTGTGGTCCTTTTCGGAGCTGATTTGGTCTCCTAAATCTTGCTCCACCTAAAACAAGTGGAGGAAGAAGTCAAGGAACGGTTCAACTGTAACTGTTGTTAACTCCCTGTTGCTGACCAATTGGTTCTTTTTCTGGGACATGAGTAGATCGGTTTTAAATATGTCAGAGTGATACTATAATATGTGGCGGTGCAGGAGTTGAACCGGGGCGGTCCAACTACAACTTCCCTATGTTGCCCCATGCGATATTAGAAAAGATTATCACATGAACTCCTCCTTTATGATTAGATCAAGTCAATCGAATGTAAAAAAAAAAACCAGGTGGACCATCCATTCTATGATCTCACCTGAACGACATATGTTCTCGTGTAGTTGTTGGTCTTTGATTGCCCTATTTCTATGATTTACTCATGTCAACGAGCTGACCTAAAATGGAATGATCGTATACACAATAAAATTTGCCCTGGTTTCTACATGTACTTCCGCAGTTCCGTCGGAAAGAAACCTATTGTGAGAGATTTTCTTGATTAATTCTTGTGGGGCTTCTTGGGATATAATTGGGGTCGAGATATATTTGTGAAATCATGCCATGGATCTCTATTTGTGAAGTAGGCATATTGCCAAACCACGTAAATCTACCGTGTCGGGTTTACTTTTCCGCATTTATTTCTTGCTCGAGTCATTTTGATTTTGTCTGCTCTTCCGATATTGTTTGTTACACCGGATAAAAATCTTATTATGGCATGTCCGGCATCATAAGATCTAGATAGAGGTTAAGTTCAATTACCATGCTTCCTTCAACAATTCATGACTCAGTCAAAGATCAGCTTATAATAGCTTAAGAACGACCCAACTCTCTATATCAACATGAAGGATCCATTTGCCAGAGAGGGAAAAGAAAGATCTGAAGTCCTTTTGATCTTCCAAAAGGAACGGAGAAGAAATCTATGTCCTAATCGTCTTCCAAGATGGGCTCTAACACAGGATTCCACTGTCTCCGACTACAACTATTCAACTGAGGATCGAAACCACCACCCGCGCCGCTGCCGCCGTTTTTCTCTTCTTCCGAAATAGCTACATATAAAGTCCCTCCCTTGCTCTTCATCTTTGCCTCGCCCCACTTGCCAGTACCGACCCTTTTCCTTTTCAACGTCGATTCTATCGCCGCCAACTCCGCCTCGTCCACCTTGTGGTTCATCCTGCCCACGAGCACCGCCAAGTACGCCTTCCCCGCCATGAGCTCGTCGTCAGCATGCATGGCCACGATACGCCGGCTCCTCCACATCTCGTCGACCGGAGCGACGACGTGCCCCGGCGCCTCGAGCATGACCTCCGCCACTTTCACCGGGGCGGGGAGCCACCACAGCTTCCCGTTGGGATCGAAGAGCACCGCTTCTTCAGGGCACGGCGGGGCACAACAAGAAGGGAAATTACCCATTGGCTACGTTCGTCTGAGGCACGAATTTCTCAAAGCCGACGGTGCAAACGATCGTTCTAAGGAGATTTTTTAACTTGCGGTTCAACTTTGTTGTTGCGAGAGATGGAGGAAGCATTGCCCGCGAATGGAGTCGTTAAATAGGTTGTGTCGTGGAGAGGAGGGAGAGGAGTCAAACTAGAGGAAGAGGAACGTCCAAGGAAAAGAGTCAAAGGAGCAATGGAGAGTGAGGGTCGACTTTAGTTAGGGACAAAGAGGAGAGACATCTATGAGGAGTTTCGAGGTTGGTGTCGAAGACGCGGATCTGATCCATGGCAGCTTCCACGGGATTTGGGCGTGGGTTTCGATGTGGATTGGTCAAATTCGTGTTGGTGGAGGAGACATGGTGGCGACTCGAGGAGTACTCACCACCCATTTGTTGTAATTCCCTTAGTTGGCCTTTTCTTCTTGTGGCGAGGACACATTGATGTGGTCGCAAAACGATGTGTCGACCCCCGCACGCCGTGTGAATCCAAATCAATGCTGTCCTAGGAAGATTCGCATTACCGATCTCATTCGTGGAGGAACGATGATTGGATTGTTGATTACTTGTAATTTGAGGCATTAGTCAGCTTTGCGTATTGATATGAAGTTAGACCTCTCGAACGGGTGGGTCGATCGAGTTAAGAATGGTTTGATCCAAATTTACCCATTCGACTCGTTTAGGCCTATTTATATATGATACAAAATTAGAGACCCACACCCGACCCAAGATCCATTTTAAAGTAATTTTTCTTCTTAAATTGTTGTCTTTGAATGATGGGCGGCACCATGGCCCAACTTGCCGAGTTAGTGCGGGGGCTCGGGGGTTTGGGTTATGAACGAAAACATGAAGGTGGTGGTGAAAGTCCGGTGTCAGCCATCCATAAATCATGAAACGAGTGATCTTAATGTATTGGACTCGATGAAAACCCAACATACATTTTTTTCGTCACAAAAACAAATCCATGTTAATTTATTTTCATTTGATCATTTTCCAAAGTTAGACAATTCAGTTGATGAGCAAGTTGTGAATTTTGCTGCACAACAATAAACTTGTCGATTTTTTGTATTAAGTAAATATCGTATCCACGAATATAAAAGAAATTGTCATTCTGCTTGGCCTGATCGAACCAAAAATGTGTGGCATTTTAAATTGTGTGAAAAGGACAACAACTGAAATGCCATAGTTGAAGCATGCCAATCTTTATCACCACCACCATCATCATGAAAGTTCCAAAAATCATATGCATATTTGCTGGGAATGATCAAATTGCATTTTGTAAACGTGCAGTATGCTCTAATTTGCTGAGCCAAAGAGAGAGAGAGAGAGAGCAAATCCTTTCTGCTTTGACAGTAGATTTCATCCACTTTGCAAATTATGACAGAAAGATGGAACCAAAAAGGCCAGCAAGCAATAGCTCCCAAATTTCCATCTCTAAAGCCAAAGCCACAAGCAAATCCATTCACGAACACACCACAAGGAAAGCACACAGCTGTGACAATTTCCGTCTCCAACCCAAAAGCACAACACAAACGGATCACATAACTGATAGTCAATGACAACAAATCTAATTCAATTTCCATAACCTTGAGAGCTCTAAAAGCAACAACGCTGACAAAGCAATTGATTCCAATAACACAAAAGATTTAAGTTCCTCAAGCAGGTGTTAAGTTCTCAGTAGGAGATATCCACAATATGTCTCTGAGTGCAGGCCTGAGCTCCTTGCTACAGAACTGATTATACTCCGGAGTATCCCCGTTGTCCTTCTTCATCTGCTCCAACAAGAACGACCGCGTCACGGCAAAGATCTCCGCGGCAATACCCAGCTTCCCTTGCCTCCCTCTCTCCTGCCCCTGCAACTTCATCTTTAACTAGCTCTTCTTGATGCTGAACTTCCTCCCCTTGGGCCCCTGGCCACCTCCTCCGGTCTCAAAATCAGCGAAAAGTGCCAAAGAAGTCATAAACCTTTTGCATTTGTGCCAATTTAGTCCTAAACCTTTTTTTGTGCCAATTCAGTCCTAAACCTTTTGTATTAGTGCCAATTTAGTCCTAAATTTTTTTGTGGTGTCAATTCAGTGGTGTCAATTCAGTCCTAAACCTTTTGCATTAGTGCCAATTCAGTCCTAAACCTTTCGTCTTTGTGCTAATTTAGTCCTTCCGATCAATTTTGGCCAAATTTTGCTGACGTGAACGCCGGTCACCGGCGCTAACGTGGACAACTTTAATAATATTTTAATATTTTTCTTGAATTTTTATTTATTTATTTATTTTCCCTCCCCTCCCTCCTTCCTCCAACCGGTTGCCGAACCGGCGACTGGCGAGGTCGACCTCGCCGGCCATTGGCGAGACTCGCCCTCGCCAACGACGGCAAGGTCGAACCTCGTCCAGCCATGGTGAGGCTCAAGCCCTCGCCAGCGTGCCTCGCTAGATCTGGCGAGATCGGGCCTCGCCCAGCCATGGCGAGGCTCGCCTTCGCCGTTGCTGGCGAGGGCGAGCCTCGCCAGCCTCTGGCCTTTGGCCAGTCGCCGGTTCGACAATCAGCTGAAGGAAGGAGGGAGAAGGGAGGGGAGGGGGAAAAGGAAAAAAAAGAAAAATAAATAAAAATTCAATAAAAATGTTTAAAATATTATTAAAGTTGTCCACGTCAGCGCTGGTGACCGGCCGGTCGGCATCCACGTCAGCAAAATCTGGCCAAAATTGACCGGAATGACTGAATCGGCACAAAAACAAAATGTTTAGAACTGAATTGACACAAATATAAAAAGTTTAGGACTGAATTGGCACCATAAAAAGGTTTAGGACTGAATTGACACCAAAAAAAGGTTTAGGACTAAATTAGTACCAATGCAAAACGTTTAGGACTTCTTTGGCACTTTTCCCTTCAAAATCACATTGCTCATTAGCAATTGGATTCAAATCTTAAATTGTTAGCAATGAGAGAGCACTTAAATCCTCTTCAAAATAATAGGGACTTTGATAGCATAACAGGTTTGGGCCACTATGAGAGTAACGACATATTATAAGCCGCAAATTCTTGAAGAAGTGGATCTTACAATAATTTACAATTATTTGTTATTTAATTTTTTTATGATTCAAGATTTGCTGTTAATCTCACAGTAAATTAAGAACTATCATTTAATCATTTCCTAAATGATAATACAGAGCACTGCACAGACATTGCCGATCAATCAGTTGAAGAAGAGGAGAGAGAGAGAGTAGAGAAATTGGAGGCATTAATGGGGAGAGGGAGAGAGAGTCTCAGAAGTAGGCGGGTTGAGTATGGGAATAATATAGACCGATTAAAACGCATATTTGATTGAACTTATTTTATAACTCTAAACCCATTATAACCCATTTTTCAAATTTTGCCTAACCCATGTATGACAAACTCATTAAATATGGATTGATAAGTGAATCATTGACCCATTTTGACAGATCTTCCTGGAGCAAATTTTGCAAATAAGAAAGCATTTCGGGACAGGTGGATTGTCTCATCCCCTGTACCAAGCAAAATCTCGAAAGGCATATTCATGGAGACCCGACTTATACAATCACAAGGATTAGCTTGCCGATCGACCATTATGTCAGGGTATCACCCCTTGAATCGGTGAAGTTTTTACTTGAACTCCATAGCAAAGCTCACTCATCACACGTCATTACATGTTTAAAGACATCAGATCCAATCAACCGTCTGCATAGGAAGATCACCGGGCAAGTACTCAATCAAGTCGAGCATATCTGACTCGGGCATGTAAAACCAACGCTGGACTTCTCCTGTTTCGGTGAATAGAAGCAGTTCCCAAGTTTACCAAATGAAAGCAAAGATTAATGCTCTATGATGAATTTACTCGGATGGAATAGGCATGCACCTAAACTGGAGAGAAGCCAAATATATACTATCTGGAAATTATGGAAGAAGAAACCAAAAAACCAATGTGAATCTCATCGATTCTCCCTCAACCAGAGGTGATCCGCATCAGTTCTCCCGAACATTATGCAAATCAAGCACTAGATTTCAAGCAAAAAAGACAGCAGTAGAAAAAGCGAAGGCTTTTCCTCCAAAAGAAAAAAGAACGAAAAGGCTATCTAGTGCTTTTATTCTACTCATCCAGAACTCTGTGAATCGTACTCTCAAGCTTACTTCTAAAATGCCTTTTTAAGTGTTCATAACGGCTTCCATTCTTGCTACTTTCTCTCTTCAATGAACAGGAAGTCTGCATAGCCAAACTCGTCAGCTGCAACGGATCAATTAACGAACACACAACTGCGACAGATCCGGAATCAAGGTAGAGAGGGAGAGATAGAGGGATAACATAACGTGAAGCTTATAAAGTGGCATTAACATATATACTTTCCTTTTCCAGATAAAAAAGGCCTATGTCTATTGGTCTCAATTTTCAGATCTAGATATAACTGATGGGGCGCATATTTGGCAACGAAAAATAGCACCGTATGTTCCAAATAGAGCAAGGCATGGAGAACTTGATCAGCAAACTACAATACCAGAGAGACTACCTTGTTGCCACAAGTGAATTTTACAGAGAGAACAATTCCTCCTTCCAAACACATTCACAACATATATCCAGTTTAAAGCCAACCCCGGGGCTAAAACAACAGGAGGGTGAATGCTGAACAGATTTTTCTCAGGGGGCGCTGTACTGCATCATGTGGATCAATACGCTACTTAATGTACTGAGAAAGCCACTTGAAACCATCCCCATAGCCCATTTTGCGAACGATGCTGCACATGAATACCTCTAGGGGACGGACATTTGAGTCTGCTAGATTTACCTTTCCCTTTCCGGTGGTGAAGTTGGTCAAACCAAGATGGTATCGCAGTTCATCTTCAGAGGCAGCATACGGAATGTCGATCTTGTTTCCCAATACAAGGAATGGAACATTCGCAAGGGCCTCATCAGAGAGGAGTGCGTCCAGTTCCTTCTTTGATTCTGCAAACCTCTCCTTGTCATAAGCATCAACCAGGTAGACGACAGCATCCACCTATGAAGCAGAAGATGTTATTTGCCCATAGCACTAGAACTGGCATTTTACGTAGAGAACCAAAGTGAGCCAATTAGTAAATTAGAAAATATGACAAAAAGACAGCTAACAGGTGCAAAAATGCACAAAAGAGACAGAAAATTGTATGGATGGCTAAACTAAAGTTTCGTGTCCAAAAGCACATTCAATCAGCAGCTGCACATGTAATTATGAAAAGAACTTATCCATTACAAAGATCATTTTTGCTTTGTTAAGCGTGTGAAGACTAAAGAGAGAGCTTAGACAAACAATGCACTCTAAATTCCTCGTTTTACCCATATGACTTCCTTGTTCAAAACACCATGATAATAGAAATTGCAAAACTTCCAATGATATTATAGGTCTTAAAAACTTCCTTGTTTACAAAAAGAAAAAGAACTTTGAGATCTATAATTGATGAAGCAATTTCTTTTCACGACAACCATTAATCGCACGACACAATAAAAGATTCAATTGCTTAAGTTTACTTATTCTGCATGCATAATGCAATCAAAGATACCTTAAATCTAAGAGGTTGTTTGTTTAGGCTTTTTAAAACAAAAAGTTACATATTCATTTTCCTGCCAAAATTTGAAATGTCATTTAAAATTGTTGAAAATATTTGAAAAACTGACAATATATCAATAACTGTGCATTTTGAAAGATTGGTGTTTCACATAAAAAAAAATCAAATTGCAAAATGTGAAAAAAAAAAATAAAAGGTAAAAAGTCACTAGCAATTCGTAATATCAATCCAAGGAGACGAAAGGATCTAAAAAATTTTATAGGAAACTTAATATATTACTACTATAAACTAACTAGGCAATAATTTGCATTCTTGTAGGGAAGCAGAGATCCTTCCCAATATGTCATGCTTGCCATTGATCACTGTGCACAAAAGACACCGTGATCTAGCTGTTAATAAGAGGAACCTTAGTTCATATAGTAAGTGTGGATCTACTAAGGATCATGTCAAGAATTGCCAATACGAGAGAAGGGCTGGGTTAAAAAAAAAAAGTAGATGAGGCTATAACTTCCTTGGCCAAAAAGTTCACAAAAAGATAGGCCAGAATAAAGCATGTTTTCATAAGGGGAGTAGTGAGGGAAAAAGTGCAATTATTCACTTGGAGAAAATGAGAGAAATCTGGGCAAATCATCACCAGAGAAAGAGAGAGAGAGAGAGAGAGAGAGAGAGAGAGAGAGAGAGAGAGAGAGAGAGAGAGAGAGAGTTTGCCATGTAGGAGACAATAAAGACGAATCTCGAAGACAAATAAATGAAAATGATTAAGAAAGTTGCAAAATTAGCATTATCTACACAACTAGACACACTGCACGACTGGATGCTGTGCAAGACGAACTAGGACTTCCGTTTAAGATATACCTTGGCATAGTAATCCTTCCAAACTCTGCGAGCAATCTGATGGCCTCCCAAATCAAAAGCCTTGAACTTAATTTTCCCAATACTCAACTCTTCAGAAGTCGGGTACTGCGTGGGCTGATGCTGAACTAGTCTCTGAAACAATAAACAATCTATCAATACCCATTGTTACATCAAAACTCCTACCTTCCAGTCAAAAACCACTTTGCTATGTACCAATCTCAATCAACATAGAACACAAACCATCCATAAACTACACCAGCTCAAATCCTACAAGTTTTACTAAACTAGTCAGTATTACCATCCTGAACAACTGCTCAACATAACATGATTCATCGACCAAGCAGAAGAAACTCCGACCTCAGATATCAACACTATTTAACATTTTTCCGACTCCATACGAGAAACAACACCAAAACTCGCAGCTGAAAATAATCAGAAACTGTAAATTCTGGAATAACAAAAAAATCCAAATCCGCAGTCTAGTAGTCCATCAATCGGCCGTAGCCACCGTCTCCACCCATCCATCCCCATCATCAAACAAAAACCACTCCAAAAACCCTAAGATCCTCGAATCGCACGCTCCCGCGTCCAACCACGAACAGATTGCCGAACCGGCGACAACAACCAAACACACCCGACCAGAACCGAGCACGAGACGGAACGAGAAGCCAAACCTCGTCCTTCAGCATGTGGAGCAAGGTGGTCTTGCCGGCATTATCGAGGCCGAGGAACAGGATCTTGGCCTCCTTCTGCCACAGGCCGAGCGACGCCAGGACCCCGTAGAACCAGTCCACCAGAAACATATCTCGATCGATCAAGCCCGAGCAAGCGCTCCCGGAGTGAGGGGAGGAGGAGGAGGAGGAAGAGGAAATCGCCGATCGGGGACCGGTGATCGGCGGAGGCGCGAAACGGGGAGGAAGAAGGGGGGGGATCGATGATCAGCTCACGCGAGGAATGGAGATCGCCGGATGCGGGATCGGCGAGGAAGGAGACCAGCTGCCGCGAATCAATCCGACTGCTTTTTGTCCTCTTGCCCTAATTGGATCAAGGACGATGGAAGAAAGGAATTTGATGCGAGAGAGAGAGAGCGGCCAATGGGAAAATGAAGTAGGAAAAAAATGAGGGAATAGAAATAAAAAAACAGGTGGCGGATGATTGCCAGCTGGATCTGGTTTCGTTTCGTGGTGGGGCCGGAGACGGCTTCCGCGGCCCATGGGCCTTGGGCGGCTATACTGGGCTTCGTCGCGCGCTTGGGCCGACCGGGTCGGGTCGGGTCGGTTCCCGCCAGGAATCTTTTGGCTCCGTTTTGTCCCCGCTTGTGTCGCTTACGAGAGTGAACGGATGAAAAGCATTTTTTATCGTTCACCAAAAATTTCCCATATAAATTGTCGTCGATAATAAAAATATATTTCAGGCTTGGAACTAGCCGACTTGGGTACAAGCCAATTCCAATCAATTCGGTTCTCGATTTCGAAAATGGAGAACGGAATCTTATTCTGTAGGTTTCAAGCTTTTGATCGGAAACCTACTGGAACTTACTCACTCCGAAATCAATCTTAACTACTCAACTCTAGTGATTACCGAGAACTATTGGTCGGATAGAAGATGGGAACTACGTAAATTGGGACCTGAAAACTCAGGTCCGGTCTAGATTCAGTTGACTAGACGAGAATGACCCAAAACTCTACCCAGATCAATGCCTTTTCCAAGATCTCACGACTTAAAATTCACTTTTCACCCAGACTTGGACACTTTTTCTAAACCAAAAGGCACAAGTTGATACTGACTGGCCTAAGTCACAGCCGTATCAATTGGTTCTGCAATGGATGGCATTAATGTTTTTGGCTTTCTAGTTTTTAGATGATACTTCAATCAAGTTTCTACTCCCTGTCCTGATGAAAGGGAAAAATTATCAAAAAAAGCCAAAAATGTATTGCATTCGTGACAATTCAACATTAAATTTTTTAATTGTGTTAATTGAGTCATAAACTTTTTAACAATTTGCCAGTTACATTTTTCCAACCAAAAAGCCTACGATGCCTATAAGTTATGCCCATCTTCGTGGAATCAATCGACTAACCCACGTTCCACCAATTTGTCATTTGGTTCACTTTGTGCAATTACAATCCTCAAGTACACCATGCAGGAGGATCGAGATTACTGACTCTAGACGAAAAAGGATTGTCGTGGCCGGATGGAGCGAAAGACCCAAGCAAGGTAAGCGACGAAAAGGAGTATCAATCACGAGCCTACTCGTGGCCAAATTAGAGCAGACATCGAAAACCATGTTAGCGGGAGGACGCAATCTTCTCATTTATCGATAAAGGGGGAAATTGCTTAAAAATTCCTAAACCTATTACATTTATGCCAATTCAGTCATAAACCAAGCCCTCCTTTGAATTTTGATTCGCACCTTAGAACTGCTTTATAGTAGTAGAATTTTGATGCATAGATTTCATATCATGACAAGTGTAGAGCATACTACTAGGACTAATCAACGCATGCGTTTGTTTAAAGAATCATCCAAGGCAGAAAGGTAAAAGTGAAGATTTAGGAACTCATAATGCACACAAGTTTTATTTCTTGAGGCTCTTTTGGGAGCAGATCTTTTTTACTGTTTGTCAATTTAGTCATTCCGGCTAATTTTGAGAAAAAAAGAAAAAAAAAAGTAATAAGAAATTCATAAAAAAAAATTAAAAAAATTAAAAAATTATCCACATCAGCGCTAACTATGCCACATAGGTTGGCTAGCATCCGTATTAGCAATTTTTGGCTAATATTGGCCGAATAGATTACATTGGCAAATTATTTTTAGAATTAAATTGGCATAATTGAAAGATTTATGATTAAATCGGTACAAGTACAGTAGTTTTAAGACTTTTTTTTGTACTTTTCCCATGTATAATGCTATATATTGCATACTTCTCGTTTTATGAATTTATCGTGAAGGTCCATCGACACTAATCTGGCATTCGAAATTCATTGAGTCCCCCGTGTATGATCCACGTGGAAATCTTTAATGTGAAGCGACGATACATGTGAGAGTGTGGATGCATCCGATGTTGCTAAATTATTTTCGAATTTGAGCCATGTACGAAACCTGACTCGTCATGAGGATTTTAATTTTCTTCAAAATTCTGGCATGCCCTTTTAATCCTGCGCACATTTGAATTCGTCGGGCGAAGGATGTTGATTTTCTTTTCTGTTGGAGAAGGTCATCTCTGACCAATTTTACTTGTTGGATTTTCTTTTTATTACGTACAGGAGGAGGAGGCACTTCGGATATATACACAAAAGGAAGGGGCTCACATATATTCCTTAAAAGAAAGTCGTGGACGTCTCTGCCAAAAGGCACACCAGAAAAGAAAATTTGAGTATTTGGTGGGTCCAGGTCAAAGGTAGTAGATTTGGCGACCCCGGTAAAATGAAAAGAATAAGGGCACCCATTGAGTATCAAATTGAGTTGTTTATTTGTAAATACTGTGAGTTTAGACTTTAATCTAGGCATAGGATTCGCTCGAGGATAAGAGCCATGGTGACCCCGATTCTCCGATTATCAGTAAATTACTTGTTCTTGACTTTTTCTATGGATTAAGTATCGACGCTAAGACCGAATCACGTAAGTCTTTAATGTTCTTATTATTCATCGTTTACTTCTCTAGTGATTTCGCATTGATTTACATTGCAGGATCCCGCCAGTTTCCGCATTAATATCACAAACACATCCCGACGAGCATATCTAATCGATTGAAGTACTGTTGGATCGGCCATTTCCATTGATCATTAGGCAGGAGGATCCACATGCTCACCTGGTTCTTGGAAATTTCAGTGACAGTCCATGCATGTGCTCTCTCATGAATCCCCAGCCTTCTCAAATCGAACTCTTTTCACTTTCTTTTTGAGATTACTTCGTCGAAGTCAACAAAGTCTATCGTTGGTCAAAGAGTCAAAATAAAGTTTCTTTCTTCATTCACAACACAGAACGAAACCCAGTAGAATTCCCACCAAAACTTCAAACATGGCAATGGCATGACCATACGATTGAACAAAAATAACTCATGAAAGCCAATTCTGTCGTCCCATAACATTCTGCATAACCAGAAGATACCTAACTTACTTGAATGCGTTTGTGCAGCCGCCCGCGGATCTGACGCCATATGTAGACACTGACAGGAATGAGATTGTACAATTTAAGAAGAAAGAGAGATTTGCTCAGTTGTCCTCGGCTGGATGATGCTTCACGATCACCACGGGACACCTTACGTGCTTCGAGCAGTAGTCGCTCACGCTCCCGAGGAGAGCCCTGCCCACGTCAAAATCAAACGTTAGAAAGCTGCCGTCGTCCTTTCTCTCTCTCTTTCTCTTCCTTTGGTTTCTGGTATCGTCCGTTCTCTTGTCAGTCAAATGGAGAAGAAGCGAAGAAGAAAATGGACTGTTGGAAAGAGATTGTCTCAAGAACAGAAAGAAAGCCAGTCGTTTTGACGATGAACCAGATCCTTACGATGTCATTCACATGTTTTTTCAGTGTTTTTAGGCGTTCAACGATGAACGAAAGCTGATCTAAGAAAAGGGTATGTTGAGAAAACAAAATTTAAGTGGATGTACCTCTTCATGAAACCATATCCATGGCTTCCCATGACCAGAGTGTCCGCTCTGAGTTTCTCCACCGCGTTGCATATCACGTCTTTCGCTTCCCCTTTCCCGACAAACCTCTCCACATTCATCTGCAAAATCAATTCCCCGAATATCAATATGTCATCAGAAAACTAAAGTAAAGAACAAATGAAAGGAAAGAGACGCGATCTTTTGAGCAACAGGAATATCTGAAATCAAATCGAGAAAGACAGGAGGATTAAGAGAGCATTACGTTGGTGCTGAAGCTCCTGTAGATCGCCTCTGCTCGTCCCATCACCGAATTCACCAAGTCGCACCCGTACTTTTCCAAGGCCGCATTCACATCGCTCGAGAACATGTACCCTGCAACAGAAATGAATTGAATTTTAACAGTGAATTTGGTTCTTGAAGAAAATTTATCGAAGCTGACCCAATCACGAAGTTACCTCTACATGCTTATATAGCAGAAGATCCTTTTTTGGGAAACAAGAAAAAAGAAGCACGAAGCAACTCAGAAAACAGAGAAAGAAACGAAGAAAGGAAGAAGAGTGGGATGCTCTGTTCTGCATCCAAATCACTAATTTGCCTACACGCAGTTCCACAAAAGAAGACTCTTTACCGGGAACAAGGAAAGGAAGCACGATAACAATTCAGAAACAGAGAAACAAAGCAAAAGGGGAGCGTGATCTGATGGCTGATGACGATTACCTGCAGCGTCGAAGAAGGAGAAAACAGGGGGAGGAGGCTTGACGTAGAGGAGCACGAGGGTGGTGCTGCTGTTGCTGGGTTGCTCAGCAGAGATGAGGTGGGTGAGACACCACGAGAGGGCGTGCATGCTCTCCTCGCTCTCGTCCACCGCCACCACGATTCTCTTGTCTTTCTTCATCGTGATGTTCATGTTCACCTCGCCGTCCATCGACTCTCCGAGAATGAATGGAACTCCTTTTTGTTTTCTGTTGGCCACCAGAGATCTGAGAGATTGAGAGGTTTCTCTACGTGTTCTGCTGGTTTGGAGATGTTGAAGAAGAACAGCAGACGGTCTTGTCTTCTTTATAGGAGGAGGTATTGCAATTTTGAGCTGTGGTTTTTGTTTTTTTTTGGGTTTCGCGGGGATTCCTGTTTCTAGTTTTCTGGTTTGTCTGTTTTCGGGATTTTGGTAAGTGGTTTTCTAGATGAAATCCAGAAAGTGGCGGCTTAATCGGTTATTCTTAAATTTTTTAATACTACATAAATGAAAATTAGGAAAAATTTCAAATGAAGACATGACGCATCCTCATTTTCTCAAATAAGGACACTTACTTTCAAATAAAAGTAGGAAAATCCCAATTAAGGACCTCAAGTGAGCCTTTTCTCAAAAGAGGACCCTGTGGATTTAGTGTCAAATAAAGGCCTGCAAGTGCCCAATCAGCTCAAATAAGGACCCGAAGTGCCAAAAGTCTCAAATAAGGAGTCGCCGGCCGGCCAAAATACTGCCGGCGGAGAATGTTACTATTCCAAGACTAACAAAATTTTTAATTTTTTTTATTTTTCCTTTTCTGTTTTTTTCTTTTCTTTTCCTTTTCTTTTTTTTTCTTCTCTTCCTCCGCCGGCCATAGCCGGGCCCGCTGAGGTCGCCGCCTCGGCGAGGCCGCCTCGCCCAGGCCGGGCGAGGTCGGCCTCGCGCCGGGCTCGGCGAGGGCTCGCGCACTGCGAGGCTCGACCTCGCCCAAAGAACGCGAGGTCGAGCCCGCCGCTCGGGCGAGGGCTCGACCTCGCGGCCGCCGGGCGAGGCTCGACCTCGCCGGCTGGGCGAGGCCGACCTAGCCTGCAAAGGCGAGGACCGGCCTGCCGACCGGCGAGGTCGAGCTCGCCAGCGGCCGGCGAGGTCGAACCCTCGACCTCGCCGTTGCCGGGCGAGGCGGCTCGCGCGCGGCGAGCTCGACGGCGAGCTCGCCTCGCAGGTTGTGGCGCGCCAATAAGGTCCCGCCTGCACGCGAGCGAGCCGCCAGGCCCGGCTGGCTCGACCTCTTTCGGGCGAGGTCGAGCCTGCCGGCCGCCGGCGAGCTCGGCGCCGGCCGGCGGGCCGAGCCCTCGCGAGGTCGAGCCTCGCCCGACCCGATTAACTTTGAACGCCTTTTAAAAAGCCACTTTTTAAATTTTCCCATAAAAGTATGAAGTGCTCTTATTTTCTCAAATAAGGGTGTGAAGTTGATTTTATTTCAAATAAGGGCACGAAGTGGCTATGTCTGTTTCAAAGAAGGATCTATATTTTAAGATGGTAAGGGCATTTTCGTCTTTTAACTTTTTTGAATATTTTTTCCTTCTTTATTTCTTTTTTCCTTTCTTTTTTTTTTCTTTTTCTGGTTTCTCTTTGTTCTTCGCCTGGCAAAGCCCGGGACGGGCTGGGCAAGGGTCGCCCTTGCTCGATTTGGTGAAGGACGACCTCGCCTTGCCCAAGAGAGGGTTCCCAGCCATCGGGCTTCGCTGGCGGCTGGCCGGCCACTGTCGAAGAACAAAGGGAAAAACAGAAATGAACGGAAAAAAGAAAGAAAAAGAAAAAAAAAGAAAGGAAAAAAAGAAATTAAAATTAAAATTTTCTTTGGACGAAAATGCCCTCGACCAGTCGAAATAAATTCGTCTGCCGACGATCGACGAGGTCAAGCCCTAATTTGAAACTCTCATGGTCACTTTAGGCCCTTAGTTGACACAAAATCCACTGCAAGTCCTTATTTGAAATTTTCCCTGAAAATCATTCTCTTCCTCGGCTAAATTTTTGGCCGAAAATAGATTTTTTATTTCTATTCTCTGAACAAGTTTCTGAACATAAAGTAACTTTTAATACTGATACGAAATTTATGTTCCTTAAATATAAATTTATTCGATAGGTTATTCTTAAATTTCTGTTTCCGGTGGCAGATGGTCACAGAAGCAAGGCGGCGGACGGCCAGACGGTGGGCGGGTGGCGGAGGTGGGCGGCGAGGGCGAACGATAAGAAGAATTGTTATTTCTATTTGAGTTCCCAAAAAAGAAAAGCAAAAAAAAAATCTACTTATCATTTTTATTCTAAACATATTTCTAGTTAAAAAAAAATTTCGGAAATAAAAAAAAATGAAGTTGTGTTGCCAAACGGATTTCTGTTTCAAACATGATCTTAGGAACAGAAAAATAGAAAAATAAGAAAACAGAATGGTTATCATTCGCGTCCTTAATAAGTCAATTATGGGATTAAAAGAAACATTATTACACTTTTGGGTCCATATGAATTGGTATTATAATAAAAATTAATGCAATAAATTTACTTCTTAAATTTAACATTTTTTTAGAAAAGGACACCTGTCTTTTTTTCTATTATTTCATTTTATTCTCTCCTCTTCCTCTTTTTTCCCTCCTCGTCCTCCATATTCTGTCTTCACTAATGAAAGCCTCCGTCGTGGTCGACCAATACAACAAAAAAAAAGCCTCCGTCGCCGGCGAAATGCAAACAACGCTATGTGCTACTCCATCCTTGATTGCTAATGCCACCCTTGAGCGACACAAGCAATGGTTATGCCAATCGCCTCTAAGAGCGTTGGATGTAGTTGCAGTGATTCACGACTTATGTGTGATTCTAGTTATTATTATTATTATTTTTCAGAACGTGAGTGTATTTTGGTAAAATCAAATCATTCTTAAGGTTCATTTGTTTGAAAGAAAATTATTTTCAAAAGTTTGCTTTTTAACTTTTCAGTATTTAGATGACAGAAATCTAATCGATTTACGGAAAACGTTTTATATTGACTAAAAACAATAAGTTTAGATCGGGGCAAAACAATTTCTTCTTCTTGCAAAAAACGAAACCACTTTCTCCATACCATCAAACAAATAAAAACTAACCACCTTCCTTGAAAATGATTTTCAAGAAAAATACTTTTTATTATCATGAAATTTTCAGTCGAAGAGACGCACCCTAAGTCTCCTTACCGGCCCAAGTACCAACACAATCTCGTCGCAAGCATCTCATCCCGATCGATCACCAGTTGAACTTCACATGCAGTCTCTGAACTTAAATTATACTTGCAATCATGTCACCAAATGCATATTTTTTTAATTATCCAATTCAGTAAACTTTCACTTATTTTTTGTGTTGTTGCACTTCTGAACCGTGGTGATCCGACTAATTTATTCGACGAAATGCTACGTGGGGTCTCGTTGGATTGACGTGACATCCACCCTATTACCTAAACAGAAACAAAAAAGAGAATAAAAAAGTTTCAAAAACTTTAAAAAGTTCAAGAAAAAAAATTTTCGAAAAAAAGAAAAGAAAGAAAGAGGAGGTGGGCTGCAACTGACCACCGCTTCTGCGGAGGTGACATCTGCCTACAGCTGACTTAAAAATAGGTTTAGGGGAGGTTTGGTCAAATTTTAGGAAAGAACGTTGCATATTAAATTAATAGAAAAAACACAAGATGATAATAACAATGAAAAATTATGAGTGAGATAAAAATACTAAAAGGGTATTTTTGAAATATTTTTAGTCAGGGGAATATTTCAAGTTTTTTTCTTTTTGAAGTTTCATATTTTTTAGGACACTAAAAAATATTATTATTCCAATTATAAAAAAAAAACTTAATTTCGTCATAGGATTACTTGTGTAAACTCGAAACGATCGCAGTGTGAAAACAAAAACCAATTAAAAGAGAATTTTGTATTGACTTGTATATTAATAAAAAGATAAGAGTAAACAAAAAAGAAGACAGATTCAATGTATGGATAGAGTGAGCAGACACCTCCCTGCCTGAAAAGCTACAAATGCAAAAACGAAATAGCTCTAGCGGTTTGATGGTGGCAGCAGCCCCTCCATTGCTCGGTGGTTGGCCCTTTGCAGCGGCGGTAGACGGTCGCCTAACCGTTTGCAAGTAACAATAGAGGGTGGCGCAACCCGTTCGCTAGGAAGTCAAATGGTTACACCGAATCCCCTTCCAGTCAGATCGATGAAATTTGCTATATACATTCAGGTTGACATTCGAACATGATCTTCATATCACAATCACTTTCGTTTTAACAAGTGCTTCGAGATTATTTATTAAATATCGTAACAAAAAAAGCTTGCCTTTTCCGAAATGTATTACGATGCGTTGAAAATGAAATTATTATAATAAGAAGACGTTTTGCATTATTTGAATTTTGGTTGTAGCTAGCTGGGGAGAGTGGAAAGTTCAAGTAGGCAGGGGGACCAAGAACTCGCAAAGTCCATCATCCTTCAATTTCTCTCTGTCAACATCTTGCATTGCTTATCAAAGCCCAAGTAAATATCTGGGTGTACCATGTGATGCCATATCGCGCAATGGAACTCCTCTAGAGAGAATGCACCAACTCAAGTATTTTAATCATGATTTGATGATAAAAAACTAGGTTTTCAAGATATCGAGATTCTCGGGAGAGAAAAATCGAGAAAGAAAAAGGTTTTCCAATTATGAGCGAATTTATCTCAGAAATTTTCAATAGAATCGCTGGTATTTAACGTCATTTTAGCCTGTCGCATTAAAAGTTGGTGCTAAATTATTCTTTTGAAATACTAGAACAAGGGCTCCGGAGCACCTATTACTCGCACAGAAGAAGTCGTTACTAAACACATTTAAGATCGGAGTAATTAGATTTTATAAAGTGTTGATGACACATAACACATGGAAAAACCATTACATTAACTATATACTGCAAAATTCTTTCTAAGTAGCTACTCCAAGCGTGTCCGGAAGGCCCTCGTCATCCATGAAAATTTCTGGAGCATTCCGGGGGTGTCGAATTTAATTGGATCGGGACATGAATTTAATTGGATTGGGACACGACGGTCGCTTTAGATTGCCTAGTTTGAAATTTCGATCCCGGAAGATGCGACCTTTCCATACTTAGAGATTAAGAAAAGGGGAGGGTCCAAATCAATTGTTATTGTGCAAGTTGCAAGTGAAAAAGGGCAAAAGAAAAATCGGAGCGTGACCGGTGGCGGTCTCTTTCTCCGGCCGTCTACGGCCATAAAAGCACGTCTTATGCCCTCTTCCTCATCCACTTTTGAGTGGTTCATGAGCAATCCACGGC